GAATAAATGTTGCTAAGGGAGCGTAAATGAAAGTGGAGGGCATTCCAAAGTCTTTGGGCAATTTTACTTGTTCTTACAAATTTTTATGTTTTTATCTTTTTGTAACTGTTAAGCAATTTGTCTGAAAGCGCTTTATAAATTAAGTTATTATATATTGCAATATATTGTGATACTTTAACCAAGGCGATATATATTGCCATTTTTTTCTCCGAAAGTTTGTAATTTTAAAAAACTGTCCCCTGGACAGTCACCCTGAATCAAAGTGACATTTGATCCAGGGTGACTGCTGCCAACTAGCGGTTTAAAGCTAAAGTACAACACAGAATGTTACATTTTAAGCCTTAACTAAAAGTTCCTARAGTGCTTTTGAGAATCGGTACAGTGTAAAGAAATAAAATGTCACAATATTTCASTGTATTATTTTCTTACACCTCTTGTGATGCTCTGTACCTTGTTTGCTCCATAAACACTACGACTTCAAATGCTTCTCTAAGAGAATTACCTGATAAACCAGATCAAAAATGTTTTTGATTGTTACAGATTTCTGATACATTGTTAAAAATCATTACCAGATTGCTGTTTTACTGACTCAGCAGCCTTCTGAGCCCTCAGAGCCTTAATCAGAATTTAATTATTGATCAGAAGCCGCTCTCTGCCAGGCCGTGCTTGGTTCAGGCTGCTGAATGATGAGCTGGTGTTCTGGTGCCGACTGCCTGACAGGAGCCAGGGAAGAAACATTCGTTTTGCAAATCCACATCATTACTGTTGAGAGGAGAGAGCGGGAAATGGAAAACGGTYGGAGGAATGCACACAGCTCTCAGCTCCTTGTGCTTCTGTCCGGACAMTCACCATGGTGATAGCTGTCGGCTSCTGTGTTGTATTTAACTTTCACTCCCTGAAGAGTAGATGCCTTCGTCAGGATTTTCTTTTTGGTCAGTTTGTTTTCTGTAAATCCTTCAAAGTTAAATTAAAATTCTCTTTTTTGTCTCGACTCATAACAGACCAAAGTAATCTCAGTACATTTTTCCACATGTTGTTGTTGTTGTTGTTGTTGTTGTTGTTGTTGTTTAAAGTTTTATACAATCAAAATAATAAACCAGAAAGGATAGCATAATGAAATCCTGTCTTCTCTTCTCGCAGTAAACAGGAAACGTTCAGGCTCTGATGGGAGAGCATACTGAAAATGCAGTTGAGTTTCTATAACAAGATTGTCTCCTTTGTCATTGTGGATTTTTAAAGTTTTACTTGTTATCAGCTGAAATTATCTTTATTTTTAAAGCAAAAGCTCAGATCACTATATGAAACTGATTATTTAATGAACCTAGTATTTTTTGCATGTTGGGAACACAAGTGTTTTTTAGCAGTCCAAATCAATCCTGATTTCCAATGTGTGTGTGTTTGTGTTGTTGCTCATTTTATTTCAGTTCATTCCCCTAACCCCTAACCCCTAACCCTAACTGGAAACTAAATCAAGAGGATTTATTACTAGGGTGGTGATGTTTTTGTGGTTGTGTGTCTGTGCTTGCTCATTTGTCTGAGGTGTTAACCACAACTTGCTAACTTTTACTCACCCCAATTCAAGATGGCTGCCAGCTGACCATATCAACACAAAAATGAATATGACTGTCCATTTTACAAATAAACTAAAATCTGTGGTAGCTTAGAGTCAGCCTCGTCCTCTGATTGCTAACCTAACCCATTTGTGGTGCCCCCTAGATGGATGGTGCCCTTAGTGTTTGCCTACACTTGCCTATGTCACAGGCCTGCCCCCCTCAGCAGCTGTTGATGTTGATGATAATTTTTCACCAACATGACCAGATCTGTCTTCAGAGCAGATCTCATTTTTGCTTTGGAATTACTAGCATGTCTTGCAGAAATAAAAAAAATGTGTAATGTTTGTTTTTGTTTGAAGGCGGAACCTGCCAGGTGACCGACAGAAAGCCCTGGACATTATGCTGCCCCTGGTGGAGGGGGACGAGCAGGTGGCCTCAGACATCTACTGCCTAGTTGGACGGATCTATAAAGACATGTTCCTGGAGTCTCACTTCACCGACACCCAGAGCAGAGACCGAGGCACAACATGGTGAGAGAGCTAGTCATGATGAGGATGTCTCTGCGTGCTGMAGTTCCAGACTGACAGATTTTAAATGTTGTCAGAAAAAGCCTTTTGATGGAAAGATGCATAAAAGATTCAATGACTCAGTGGGCTGTGGCCCCACAGCAGGATAAGTTTAACAAATTAATGCAAAATGAACAATTACTGCTATCATGAAAGCAAAACAATTTGTTGACAACGAAAATTGCAATTCTCATGCAGGGAAACCTGGCAGGTGGCAGTTATAAATAACTTATTACAACAGTAATGTAAAATAGTGTTAAAAGCTAAAGGATTTGTTCCAATTTAAAGCAAATTTCCAAAGACAAGCCTGATATTTAGCCTGATATATTACTTCTGTTCTTCTCACTACAAGTTAATATATTTGAATTAACGCTTTACTTATCAGAAATAAAGATGAGTGCTTTAGTTTGTTTCACAGGATGTACAACAATGTGACAGAATAACTGAGAGAAGTGAAGTATATTTTATTTTCAAAGGAACTGTGAAGCTTCTCTATTCAAAGTTTTCATTTTGTTTCTTTCAACCAAAAGTCTGACTCAAAAACTGAGATACTTTGTGTTGACAACAGTGCTGGTCTGTTGTAAGTTTAGACTCGGATGATAATTGTTATGGTAATATTTATTTAACAAAGCCAGAAATACGTGGTCCAAGAATAAAGGTACTCCGTGAGACGATCAGCTGAGTTTTATTGCAACAACAGGAAACACAGAGAACAACCTGTCCTGTCTCTGTGCCTCTCTGTCAGTCTCTCCACACTACTCACTGTCTCTCCACACTGAGAGACAGTGAACTCTGTGTCTCGAGAGGCCTCATATATATA